TCAAGTTCGTGTGACTTATGGTTCCGAAGTTATAGCTGATCAAAAATTCCACGCCTATGGGATGTGCCACGCCCCCTTTTACAAACTCGATTATATATACCCGCCTATAAGCATCTACCATTGAAATGGCTGCATACCAAGTTTCAAGTTCATGTGACTTATGGTCTTATGGAAGTTATGGCTGATTAAAAATTTCACGCCTATGGGAGTTGCCACACCCCCTTGTGGGATCCCAATTTTGTTTACCCTATTATAGGCCCAGGTGTCATGGCAATACTCTGTCAAAATTTCGCTCGATTCTGTCCGTCCGTTTAGACTGCAACCTGGCACATACATACATACATACTTCTACAAATATATAGTAGATGTATCTGTTTCGTTCAATTAAACTAGCCTAACTCAAACTTGAATGAATCAAGAAAAATCAATTTTTTCTTTAAATCGTAATTTTTGGACCAATATGGATTTTATAAGAGGTAAATAATGGCTTAAATCATCTATAATCTGGTTTATTTGTGAGTGGGAAAAACACCATTTTCTTGCTTAAGCGCTTTTGTTGAAACAAATTTGGTCGAAAAAATTAACTAAGCTTAAATTAGGTTTTTTTAATAAATGGAAAACGCAAATAAACATGATGTTTTGGTACTCAAATAACTCTAATTAAGTTGTTTTAATAAAATAATTTCTCATACAATGCTAGACACATCAATTTTGTTGAAGATAAGTTGTTTTAACTGATGCCACATTTAACCGTTCGAGTTAAGATATTTTTTAAAGCCTTATAACTTTGTCATAGTTACCACTATTAAAACAAGGAAAAGACAGATCAAAGGGGTTTCCTCTGTTATAACAAAAACCCAATTTTTACTTATCTCGACTTAGGCTACTTTAAAACCACGGCACAGATATGTACATATGTATATAATACGCGAAGTGTTTTTTTGTCCAGTTCATTTGCAACCCATAATGTTTATGGAATCTCGTCTAGTGGAATTCGCTAGAGAGAGGTACAATACGGCAAATTCTTGAAGGCTTCGATTACACCACTAACTAATTGCACGGATAACAGCACCTCGGAAATGGCTCAAACCAGCAATTTTTCTACACACTTCCCCTATAGGAATGACTAAAAATCACATCTACTCCTTACTGCAACATTTGCCTAGAGGCTGATTGGATGAATCTCCTGTAGGCTGTCCAGCTTTCAATAAGAAATGGAAAAGGGCACCCAATGACTGACTGGCTAAGGGTACATGGGTGTTTAAGTCCGGCTATACTTATGTATATTTTTTTAGTAATCATAATAATAGATTGGCACTTACACATACATATGTTAGTGTTTGGCCGAGCTTCTCCTCCGATTTGTGGCGTGCGCCTTGATGTTGCCACACAAAGGGGAGGAACCTACAGTTTTACGCCAACTCCGAACGGGGATGTATTTTTTTTAGAAGCTTTATCATGACAGAAATACATTCGGAGGTTTGCCAATGCTTGCCGAGGGACAACCGCTATTTGAAACAACTTCTTTATGTTTTTTTTTTTCATTTTTAGGTGTCGGAAACTGGGCTTCAACCTAGGCCTACGGAATGGCAGCGCGCACTGCTAGCCACTACACCACAGCGGTCGCTCAAAATAAACACTCTTATTCTAAATTTCCTCTTTTCTCGCTAAATAAATATTAAAAATATTTGAGAAGAATTTGGTGCACCTTTTTTATATACCAACCAGTCCTGCTCGCGTTAAAACGTAGTAGATACATACCTACCTACAGCTTTTTGTGATGTGTTAATACAAATCATTTTCTTTCATTAGCCATGTTTTTCTGCACCATTTAATTAACCAGTCTGAGCTCAACTCATTCCCGGCCCATATAACTGTCACAACTATAATAAAATCATCAAACTGTAGACAACGTCCGCTGATCTACAACAAAAAATAAATATAAAAAAGATAGAGGCAATGGTGTTGCCTTCTCAGCTGCGGTACTTGTACATGTAAATATGTGCATACATATACGCCGATATTTACATATATGTAACCCTATAAGCTGCACTGGATCACCGGCGGCAACATCCAAGTCACGAACTAAATATTTAATTCAGCAACAAATTCATTTGTAACACTTTGGCTACCAGACACTGCCTATCGTCAATCCATGTGCTGCGTGTGTGTCAGTCAGTGCACCATAAATGCACCCAACATTACTACGTAAGTTAAGTCATAGCCGTAGTTGTGGTAGCAGTAGTCACTTTGCATCGCATCGCATCACATCACATCGCAAAGTCGCTACGTCGCACGTCACATCATCAAAATTGCCAACATGCCAGAGATTACCAACTGTCAGTCGAATGTCATGCTTGTGGAACATACGTCATCCAAAGTGTTGAACTAATTTAACAGCTGTTGAAAAAACAAAAACAACACGCTAAGTAACAACAAAACACTTGTTGTTGTTCATAGCTGATACACAAGTACATACATATGTGCAAGTGTTGCTTTCGTTGGCGCATTTTTTGAGCGAACAAGCAAAATGTCTCGAGAAGTTGAATATATCATATACAAAAAAAAAATAAATGTAGTCCTATCTACATCCATACATATGTGCACGTGTGTGAGTATGTTTGCATGTTGGAAAAACTGCAAAAACAGTGGCGCAATTAAAATATTTCAAGCTCCCAACATTGCCACTGTCAGTGCCACAGCAACACTTCGAGCAGCAGCAGCAGCAAAAACAACAAAATTATTGCAACACAATTAACTGCACATTAAAAACATAATTATCGCGTTGCAACGACCGCCCGGCCGTTGTTGATCGGTCGCTGGTTGTCGACAGTGCCTCCGTTGCTGCACTCCCAACTACTAGCGTGATCACTTTGCTATTGTTGCAGTGGCACAGCCACTGGCAGTGACTGCTCCTATTGCTGTTGCTGCGGCGGCAATTGCAATTTGTTGCACGAGCATGTCTTTGGCGATCTCGTTCATGGCCAACCGCCGCACCACGCGATCATCCACCAACGCACACACACACACACCGTATCCATATACATACATATGCATGTATTGTATACACATGTTCTGCGATATTGCAAAAATCCAGCTCACTGATCGTGGCGGTGATCGCGTT